AGAATCTAGATCGTCAACACTGATTTACGAAGATTGTTGCAATCAAAAAGTGACGAATCTCTTAGATATATTGGTTTGTTTATATTGAAAGAGTGGTAGGTAGTTTGCAGTATCTATATACTAAGATTTTTGTAATTTTTAAATGTAAATTAAAGTACTTATATAAGTATTTGTTCAAGCTCCTTCAGTTGATTATCGTGAAATACAAATTTAAATGTTATTTTGTAGCTAATTAACTTTACAGTTGTCTATTGATAGAATTTTATTGCCCCATATTCTTCTCATATTTGTCCAACCTGTTGCATACAGCAACAAGTGACCTTTCAGAAATTTTGCAAAGGATACTAGTATTATTAAATAGTATTAACATTTTTCAGCAGGGTTTGTAAGGAGAATTAAAAACTTATTTATTGAGTATTTTAATTTTTCAATAGTTTTCATGAATTTCTATAAAAGCGCTCAGATAAGAACTTGTCTTTTTTACCATTTTAAAGAAATCAAGGCAATACCGCCTCTGGTAAATTTAAAACCGAAGTAATGCTCTCCAGCTTTTATCATCTTGGAGATTTTTTTAATCAGCAAAAGCGCTAAGACAAAAACTAACCATCTCAGCGTGTTCAGTGGGCTGAAATACATCCGATACGTCATTAAATCATAAATTTAATTTTTAAGTTTTTAGGAATTTTGAGTCCGATTTTTTTTTTAATTTTTAGTTCTCAGAAAAAACTTAAAAATATCTTTTATATGTTGACTATATGATACTGATCCTAATAAACCCAAAACTCTTTAGCTCTTAAAAATTTAGGGATTTTCCAATTTTTTCCTCAACCAAAGTATAATTAGTTCAACTTCTTAAGAGGGTGAATTTTCAGGAATTTTGATGGCCTGTCCAACAACTTTTTAAAAAACTCTTAGGTTATGGAAAATCTAAAAAAATCCCTTAGACTGTACCGGCCCAAGTGAATAAAAAACTAGTGGTTTTTTTAGCTGTTACAGATTTGATTTTAAAGTTTTTTCCACACAAAAGCATTTAGACAAAACCAAACAATCCCAGTCGTTCAGTACATTTCAAACATTTGTTTTTTTAACAACATTCAGGAATTTTGATGGACTGTAATCCTGGATTTTTTTGAGAATACTTTTAGATCTCAGAAAAATTTGAAGGAATTCCCCTAGACCATCGGTCGGCAACTGGCGGACTGTGGTCCCGGTCTGGACCGCCAAAAATTTTTTGAAAGTATAAATTACACAAATAAGTTATTTAAAAAATATTTTTTTAAGTTTGAGTGCCGCCCTTATCATTTTTTCTAGTGTTTTACAATTATGTGACTGATTTGAGTTATTAATGGTTAGTAAGCAGATAAAATTCGAGTGTAAATTAAAATAAAAAATTGGTAAATATGAATTTTTTTTTGGACCTCGTTAAAAATTTTCAAAAGTATCCGGACCCCACCTAAAATTACTTGCCGACCCCTACCCTAGACAGACATTACTTACCTCGATGAATCTAAAACTGGAGTTAGTTCTCCTATGGTGTTTGAACTCATCAATTTTCTTCAGTTTGTTCAGCTGGTAGAAATACATACGGTACTACAGTTGAATTCAAATTTTAGTATTTTTTTAATTTTCATAAATTATGGAGTAGTTCATAGAAGTTTTCTGAAAAACTTGAAATTGCCTTAGATTTTATGAACCCTAATAAATCCCATAGTGGAACTGGTTCCTCCTCCAAGTTCTGGGCTTACCGAAATTTCAGATACTTATTTTATAATAAATTTGGCAGTGAAAAATTATCAACTCGCTGGTCCCTCCGACAAAATATCGAAAAATTTATATTACATCCCACTTTGCTTCCATCTAGGAGAGAATTGTAACAGCTCTTTAATGAAGCAAACAAATAAAACTACAATTACTTATATTTTTTTTATTGTATTTAATTAAATAACAACGGTACAGAAACCAATTAGTGATGGATTTTAGAAATGTAATAAAACAAATAAAATCAAATCATACCTTGTAACTCACATTTTAATTATTATTGTTCCTCAAGTAATAAATATTTTAATGATAAAAGTATTAGACAATTCATAATTACATTAAGAAAATATTGGCTTAGCTGCCTAATTATATATGAAAAGTACATTTATTAAAAATATACACTATTTACAAATACACTACTTGGAAGTAAGGCACACAATGTGAAGGAATGAATCTCACAGACTTAAAAATTCCATTTCATTAATACTTTTTTTGAAATCGGCAACATATTAAATAAAACATAGGGAAGTTAATAGTACGGTTCTATATTTAACAACTGATTAAGTAGTAGAAAGAGGAAGAATGCATATATCACATTACGTTAAAAACATTACTGGGTATATAACAATCCTCGAATCCTACATGATATTGTCTATAATTACTATTTGTGGCATTTTCAGTGCTATTTTTGTATTTAATTGGATATTTCTGCATACAGAAAAAGAAATATTAAATAAAATAACGTTGTGCCATAAGAATCGATGAAAGGGTTAAGTTTATAAACTTCATTGTGTGTAACCAAAAATATCACAAGTGATTTTGAGGTTAGGCAACCAAACTAACACTAGTTTCAAATATATACTTAACGATAGCGGTGAAGTCAGTATTGTTTGACACTTGTCAATTTATTTGCAAATTAATTTATGTCTTGCCATGAAGAAACCTTACAATGTAATTATCAACCAATCAATAGTAGTAGTACGTTATGGTGGATAAATTAATAACTGAGCGAGCAAGTTTCTACAGTAGTGGCGCATAGTGATTTATTGAATCCTGCTTTCATTTTATAAGTATGTATGGTAAAATTAAAGGTACACAGAACATGCTTAGCCACAGCACACAGCGATCTTTGCCTTGCCTTTGTGTGCTTTAAGCGTAATTTTCAGTGAATTTATAGCAATCTTTTGACGAGGGTTTTAGAAAATCTAAGCAAGTTAGAAACAATATTTCTTCACTGTACCAGTTATACAAGTTTCCTCCAGGGTATAAGACAATGTACAAGCTGACAATACATTCAGAATAAGGAAAAAAAGCGCATTTTTACTTCGTATGTTTATGATATTTCCTGAACTTTACACGTCTGTTGAATATACAGAAAATCACGTACGAAACTATAAACATAATCACAACCAGCAGAATGCTTTTATGAAAGCATGAAACACATCAATTAATCACAATTGTTGAGTATTTTTACGAAATTCTCGACAAAACACGAAAATGTATATTCCGATGAGCGACCATGTTTTCCGTGATCTTTCACTGCAAAAAATTAAAGGAATCCTTGTGTTTCACCATTTTTATAGTATAGATGGATTTTCTTGTTCTACAAATGCGATATCTTGTATATTGTAATCGCCCTCCTTAAATCAACATACCTTGAGTAATACAAACAAAAATACATTGTGAATTGACATGTAGAATTTTCCAAAAAGATTATAACAATACGAGATGGTGAATTTATAGTGCCCGAGGCCATAACTAGAAACTGAAATTTGACAATGGTTGGAAGCCAACAACATACATATCATGACGAAATTAATTATTAAGAATAATCTGGTTAGTAAGATCGAAATAACAGGGCAAATAATTAATAGTCAAAAGGGTACAAGTAAAAACCTTCTCAACCCGTGTTCAATAATTGTGTATTTAACTTTATAAAAAATATGTATTTAAAAGTTTAAACGATCCAATATTACAATATTGAACTAAATTTTTGCAATTCTATTTTCAACTATTTGGGACAGTATGATAAAAAAATTTCAGTAACTACAAAACGGATTTTTGCTTTGTGTACCAGGTAAGAAATAACATATTTCTGTCAGGATTCAACAAATAAATTATAAGGTCTATATTATGAATTTATCGATGCAACTAGAGCTTGTTATATTTATCAAAAAATTTTTGAAGAATTTAAGGCACTAGCAGTAACATGGCATAACGAATAATCCTTAAATGCTTCAAAATTGAAATTATTGGCCATACTCGCTCTGCAATTACAATTAAGGACAAAATTACTGCTCCTTTTATTTAATGACCACATTATCCCAAGAACTAGACCTTCATTTTTTTTTTTTTTATTTCAAAGGAACACCATAAAAGAACAAAATCTGTAAAAAATACATGCAGTCTTCAGGACAACATCCTTGAATAAATTAAGAATGTAGTTAATAAATTGACAAATGTAAAGCACTCAATGGAACATATTTCATTTGTAAAAAAATACATTATTTAAAAAAATTTAAAGTTCTAACAATACAAATTGTACAAAGTAGATTAGGATGCCTCTAAATTATTAAGTGGTTTAGACGTCGAATTTACAGTCGTATCTTACGGAAGTTATCAAGTATTTCTTATTCAGGAGCGCCTTAAGTTTTAAAAAAGGTCTCGTTTCTATAGTTGTGAAAAAGGTATCGTAGATAAAGCACAATTCAAGTCAACAAAATCATTTAAAGAACTCCTAGAAATGTTTGTATTTTAACGCAGATTTTGTATAAAATGGACTTAATTTGAAACTCAAATTATTTTCTGTTGTCAAGAAATTTGTAATTTACGATGCCGCTTGTTCAAAAGCGGCAAATTACAAATTTCAGGAAGTCAAAAGACATGTATGTTCGAAAGTTTCGGAATGAATGGTATTCGGAGTATAAGTGGTTGTGTGGAAGTGTTCATTAAAAAAACTTTTCTGTATGCCGTGTTTAATTGTGGCTGTAGTCGGGCGTGGGGTGTAAGATTTAACAATTTTGGGCACGTCACGCAAGGCTGTCGTAACCACAAAGCTTCTTTGAAACATACTAGTATGGTGTGCGTTAATGTTCGTAGAAGTCCACAAGCCGAACTAATATTTCTATTTTTTATAAAATCTAAACGAAAATCCGTCAGTTTTTCGGTAATATTGCAAATGCAAGTAAAAATTTCCAGATTCATTTAAAGCCGTTTGACCTTAAAAATTTGAAAATTTTCGCAAGTGCCAGCGGCTTTTCTTTTTAGTCAATCAATGAATATGCTTCACCTATTCTCAATGTCACGAGCCGCCACTGAAGTAGGGGTTTGGTAAAATTTTCAGGTTAGGGGTTGCTCATCTCCTTGTATAGTTAAATAAAACACTATTTATCAAATTTAGTTTCGCCCAATTTAAATTCCATTTTTATTTAAACCAACTAGATACTTAAGATCTAAATTAGGAGGAGAGCACAGAAACAATGAAACACAGCCATCCCTTCAACTGTCACGAAGATACTAAACTCTAGGGTAGGATCATATGCAAAGTAATAAATCATTGCCTGTCAAGAGATCCAGTGCAGTACGGTTTTAAGGGGTGCAGAAATTGAATAATTTCTTTATGCATTAAGGGATGAAGGGGTCAGTTCACACCTGGCACCCCTGTTCCTACAAAAATTCCTTTATTCTCATAAACTATTTATTATAAATCCAATTAGTTTTTTTAATTCCACATGTGTATATGTACAAGATAGGATTTGAGCTGCAAGTTAGTGGTGCCGATCCAATCCGATGATTTCCAAGAGCCGCTTTAGTATAGTTTGTGTCGGGCATTGATTATAAGACTAAACTACTAAAATAATAATAAAAATAATAATTTAATATTCGCTGCATCGAATTTTGATAAAATTTTGATTTTAGTAATCTGCTTCTGCTGCATTTCTGTTATAATTTATGTGGATCTTCAGCGCTTATGGATGACCGCCTCTGGTTTGTACCAATTTCTAACAGAATGGGAAAAGTTGCATATCACACACTCTAAATTTAACGCTCCATTAATACTGTCTTAAGACAACCTATCTCAACTGTAGAAGAAAATTTACAAGAAATACTGTTTTTTTTTTTGGGATATGGCTAAAATTTTTTAGAACTATTTAGTACAGTAAATCCCGAAGAAAGAAAAATGTGTGAGAGCTACCTACCTTTTTCACAACTATATTTTTATGACAAACATGTCACTTTAAATTAATAGGTAATTTGGAATAGAAATAAAAATCTTTGATATCAAAGGCTAACTAACGAATTATTTAAAAATCTAGATTAAAAATATTACTTGCGACAAATAAATGCATTTTATAATACTTTAAACAAAGTAAGAAATATGAGGTATTCTTTTTGTTTATATGTCGTTTTTCAGCATTGGTTGGAACCGTATTGAACCACATTTAAAGTAACAAATCCTTCGTTGAAACGGTTCCGAAATTACATGCGGCTTGTATTTGAACCTGCATGTGTGTGTACTTTGACTATCGTGGCACAAATTCTAAAAAAATTCTTCTTACTGTTGGTTAACGACTTTAACGTAGTTCAATCTGGTTTGCCAAACCGCCAGAAAACGCTAACAGTTAAGTCTATCCTACTCAGTGATGCATCATCTAAAATCAACAACAGACAAATAAAGTCAGTAATGAATATTATAGATTACTTCTGTTATTTTAGCAATTAAAAGTTACTTATATGATATAATACTTCCCTTATGGATTGCCTTGTGTATTATTAATTAATTATAAAATTATTTTATTTACAGACAATTAAAAAAATATATTGTGAAACAGTTATTAGTATTATCTTTTTTTTTAATAAATGTTGCCAATTACGTCTACTCAATTACCTCTGCTTTCTTAACTGTCTCTCCTAAAACTTATTGGAAAATTGAGCATTATTAATGTTTTATTTTTCGGGAGAAGTTTCAATAGAGTTTTCATCAGTGATTAAATTTAGTTTTCTCTTAACTCTAGACTGAGTCGCACTAGCTATCACCTCCATCCACCTGAAACGCAAACACACATATTGCTGCAATTAAAATATTAATAAGGCAACATTACAAAAACTTACCTGTTATATGTGTATTCCGATTCTGCTCGGAAGAAGTACACGTGATTCTTATATTGTAGTTTAAAGACATAGTCCTTTCCGATCTCATCCTCTGGTGACGGAGGCCCTACGGAATACCCGAGTAAAGGCAAAGAGGCCAAAGGAAAATCATCTAAACACCCTTTGTAGAAGAAGAGGCAGAAAGACGTAAACACCACCCAGAGTTTCTGCCAACCGTTGCTGCTTTTAAATTTTCTCAACAAGTACCCAGATAATTGATTCTGAAAAATTTTTGTTGGTGTTTAGAAAGCAGATAAACGTATTATTTGACAAAACATACCTCTACGGCTAAAAGTTCATCCTTCATACTTATACTAGTACTTCTATGCCAGCAAACATGAACCGTTGTATTACTCCTTTGGGCCTGGGGTTTTGTTTGCGTACTGACCTCATTATTCGCACATTGATCAACATGTTCATCGGATGAGCCTCAAAATGAAAATATTTTTAAGATACCGGTGATATTTATACCGGGTGTAACTTTGAATGGGGTTCATATTTATATGGAGGCTACCATTGACTTTTAGAAACACATTCTCAAATTTCGATGTGAAAACAGATTTTTTATAAGGTTTTTTTTTTTGTTGATACCCTGCCGTTCAAGTGACAAGTGTAACCTCAATCACATGTATTGTTGTCAAACCTCGTCTTTCTTAATTTGTTACATGCTTTTTCATCACAGAGAAATTTTTACAAAGATACGTTGTAAAACTGTGTAAGATCAGAAAAGCTGAGTAATTGCCTACCGCATTATAAACACCCTTTTGTAATAAACTGAAAACGAAAATAAATGAAGCGGTAACATATTCGGTCCTTCTCATTTTGCTGAATTAACATTGGCCATTTATTTTTGGTACTCTATCGTCGTATCACATCAGTAGTTCAGTCATCCAAGGTTCAGAAACGGCATTTCCAGGAAAAAAAAGTAGAAGTTTTTTCTCACCGGTTCTATATGTTTCTTGTGGTGCTGAATCCGAATCTAAGGTTTGCCACATCGCTAGGCATCGGCTTCTCTAGAAAGATTACAAAAAAAACTCAAATTTTCGACACTCTTTTCAGTTTTTTAACTATAACTCGAAAACTAAGCGTTTTTTGTGCAAAAACATAATAAATTTTATCCATTATGAACATGAATGACATGGATTCTATTATAGTTATCTAAAGTCTCCATTCTCATTGTTTCAGGTGATAATTCTGCAGATGACGACGACGTATGAATATGAAAATTATTAAATAATAGTGTTTTTGCTTTTTTCATGTAAATACAAATTTGTTCCAAATGTGTTTCCTTTTACCAAAATCTTCTATCTTCCCCTTGCATTAAGAATAGGATTTTATTTGAACTAGGAGGCACGTTGACCATATATGGACCTCACTCACGTTTGACAATTCCTTAAATGTAACCTGGACATACTAGGTAATCTTAAAATAATTGATTTTAGAAGTGTTTGAAGTTGATAGTAGGGCACCAGCGCAGCACCCTGTTAGAATAACGTTTTTAAATTCTTTAGTGGAAAATTAAGAATTGCCATTTTTTCAACTCGATCTAACAACGTTATAGATTGTCCAGACTTTAGAGTTATAATACGTATTTGCAGGAAATTTTGTCTACTTTAATTTGGTATATCATAGTTATTATCAAAAAACGCTTAGTTTTTGAGTTATAGTTAAAAAACTGAAAAGAGTGCCGAAAATTTGTGTTTTTTTGCAATTTTCCTTGAGAAGCCGACGCCTGGCGAGGTGGCAAAACTCAGATTCGGATTCAGCACTCCAAAAAACATATAGAACCGGTGAGAAAAAAACTTCTACATTTTTTCCTGGCAAAAAACCTTTGCTTACTGGATTACAGGTAGAATGATATTATGCAATTCACCTAAATTAAATCAGTGTCAGAGGTCACTGACAATGAGATTCACAAACTAAACAGAGTGCTTTAACAAAATAGTAATCAATAGACTTGAAAAGATTTAAAAAATATTTTACATCTTATCAGATTAGTAAGAATTTTTCATTATTTTTTAACAAGTACATTTTATAAAACTGCAAAAATAATTATTTTAAAACATAAATTAGTTTCACTTCACTCACGTTGACGTCAAAAAGATATGGTGACTTTAAAATAACACGTCACAAAGTCATACAATCTACTCCGTTAATCTCATACAATTTTTTTAAAAAGGTATCAACAAGCAATACCCATAAGCGTGTACATACAACCACCGAGTCCCCAATGACAACGTAAACAAGAAATTAAATGCAGTGTAATTAAAAAAAAATCAGATTAGTATTCTGGGGAACACATACTATCACGCCTAAAAAATCTGACCCCCACATATAGTTACACGCTGTATATAAAAAAAGAAAATATAAAGGTATATACATCAAAGGAGAATCTTTGGATAAATATACTCACTGCAACTTTTTAGGCTCAAATATGTAATTTTTGTGTCGGACTTGTCTCTGGCCATTTGAATAGCATTCTGCAAGTCAGTCTTCCATTTTTCCTTTTCCTCGGCAGAACTGGCTGCTACAGTTAAGGCTCTATTTCCCCCGTAAATCACAAGACCATTAAACATTAAATCACCGTCCGGCTCTTCTATAAGAACGCCCCTCAGGGGCATGTGACCATGGACTTTAAACTGAAGTGTGGCTTGCGATCGTGACGTGTAGAGAAGTATATCAGAAAACTAAAATTAAAATAATTGTAACATTTTCGTGCGAGTGTATTTCGAAAACTTACCAAAAAGAACATCCTCTGCTGGTATCCCTTTCTGGAATGTTTCAGTAAGCATCCGTGTCTGATAAATTTCCTGCCCGGTTGAATAAGGTTATCGAATCCCACAATATCCCTTTGCAATTCACACAACGTAGCTAAATTTTCTGACTGCTCCAATGTTTCAGCTACTGGAATCATTAGATCTTTCAAAGTGTCACTTGCGGTTAAGCAGTCAGTCCTGTCCGGATGATTTGGCCCATAATGTTTAAGGAGTCTTTGCAAAAGAGACTGATACTGTAGAAGCCTATGCAGTGGTTTCAGAACAAAAGTGGTTAGAGGTAGATAACAGACCTTCTGAGTCTCAAAATCACGATATAACTGCTCGAACCGACTATTCTGTTTAAAAGCTATATCTAGTCTTTCCAGTACTAACATATGACCGTCTAAGTATTCCTCGTATATCTAAAAATACAAGAATTTTATTAAGACAATTAAAAATTTTTAATTTAATTTACTTACAGGTAACAGGGGAGGAAGGTGAGCCAACAAAACGTCTGCTATTCTTCCAGCTATTGCCCTAGGTCCACCTCTACCGTCCCAGCCTTGCAGTCTTTGTTCTAGATCTCTTACTAACAGCCCATGGGCTTGTGCTAGAGGGGCTATTAGCGACAACAAGATCTGACACTCTTCTGGTTCTTCCTTACCGACTTCATCTCTAAACCACTAACAAATAGGTAAATTAATATTATAACGGGGTATTCCGATTACAGCTTACTCAAATTAAACATTATTATTGTCTCAAAACTTTTTTAATAATAGAAAAGTGATTTTTCGTTATAAAAAGAATTTCGATATATTAATTACTGCAGGTGGTTTTCACTCCTGCACCGATCTCGAAAAAGGGGTGCGGCCAAAAACGCAAATTTTTGCTGTGGGAGAGACAGAACCTGACGAGAAAGCCCACCGACGGACGTTTTGAGGATCAATTTCAAATACTACATGCTTTTTTCCAAAGACCCATCGAGGCTTCAACGCACGAGTTCCGTCCTTTTTTCGTCTCCACGGAACGTTTTTGAAGGATATTTTTTTACTTTTTAATGCCGAAATTTGTTTTTTAAAAAGGTTCTGCACTTTGCATCTTTCTCGCGAAACCCCAATATTTTCGTAAAGCCCAGATTACTTCGCCCAAAATGCAATTTTCGCACCGTCATATTTTCCTTTATGGATACTGCCGGCACCCGCGCTTTGTTCCGAGAGGGAGTCCAAACTTTTCTGTTTGCGTACAAGCAACTTCCGCAACCCGGTGACGTCCCCTTTCCGCTACCGGGCACTTTTCTGATGCCGCGTCGCAACGTTCTCTCTCTTCTGTATCGCTCTCTACTTTTATTAGGTCAAATGTAACAAAATATAAACCGAGATTAAGAATAGTTTGACACAGACTGTCACAGTGGTAGAAACGTCAGAATTGTCAAAACTGAATTTTCCCCACGACGCCAATACGGCGAAGGGCGATTATTTTTATGTTTTATATCGTCTTGAGTCCTGCGCGGACGATTTTACGGCAGAAAAATGAAATTAACATTACGAAAATGTTTGTTTACTTCGGTTATGAACAGGAATTCAAATACTAAAACGGACAAACTCTGTCTAGAGGCAATGATGGCTCAGTGGTAAAAGTGTCGCGTTGCAACACGAAGGTTGACAGTTCGAATCTCGCACGGGATCCCTATGATTTTTTTTTATTTATTTCCATATTTTACCTTCATTATGGAGTTTTGTTTTTAAATTTTTCCATAAGAAAATATAACTTATTAAATAGGTTTTTATACACAGGACGTCTAAAAATATTGCGTTGAACTTCGAATGGTCCAGAGATCTCTGCATCAGCAGAGTTTGCCGACCTTTCTAATAATGAATATTAAATTATATCAATAATTCGAAGTAAACATATAAATTATAAATTATTATTATTATTATTTATTTTATTCAAAATAAATATTTTTGAAACCCATCATCCAAACAAAACAAAATTACGTAAATTTGAAATTGATAAGTGTGAGTCCATATTTATAATTTTCGGGAAACGAAGAAATTATAAGTTTACTCTTTCCCGAAAATTATAAAAACAAAATTATTTGATGAGCAAATACTTACGACATTTATAACATCTAAATCTTTCTTGTAAGTAAGTTCGGTCATTAATATTTCCTTTGCGATATAATAAGTCTTGTCGACTAGATGCCTGGGCTTCTTTTTAACTTCCCCCTCAATCTCGGCTATAATCGTAGTGGTGTTCGTCCCATTAGTATTGGTGGTTGTGTTGGCATTTATGCTATTCATAAGCTGCTCTTTTGCATAATTTCGTAATGGACTGTCGTCCATTTTGTTTAAGCTATAATTGCCATTCGTTGCATTCAAGGATACGTCGGATATATTGCCGTTAATTTGCTTGTGTGGAGTAGACGTGTAGAAATTATTATTGTCTGTGATTTTTGTATCCATTTCATTGGTCCGCTCCAATATCTCTTTTTTAATGTCATCTGCAATATGAATATGCATGTAAAACAAAATGATTATATGGGTATAGAATAACAGATAAATAAAAACAAGTATAACAAAATAAATGGAAATAAATACATCGAAAATACAACATATTAAAAATACTCTATTATTCTAGATATAAAAGTCACTCTAACAACATTATACCAAAATAAAATTACATGCTTTTTTAAAGTGGCTCACCTTTTTCCTCAATATGCATTTGTAATGTTAAGAGAAATGAAACGTTAAGCAAATTGTTTAATTTATTTCCAATGAAATTGATATTACAGAGGTATATGGAGTGATACTATAGATGTGAATAAAATTTTGGATAACAAATGATTGTACACAGCACAAATATGGATATCTAAAGATATTTGAGAAATAATTTTTTACATGCTTACAGCATATATCAACGTAATATTAAAAACAGACTTGAATAACTCCAAATAATGACAACGCCGAATTTTATTTGGAATTATTCGTATAATTTGACTAAATCTAAACACTAGATGATTAATTATACTTTTAACAATTTTATTAATATCACAAAAACGTAAAAATGGGAAACTGTTTATTATTGACTACAACACATCTGTTATAGTTTATAACTTAGATTATTATTATTCAATTACAATTTCTTTGTAGATGATTAGGCCTACATTCGTTAAAGAATTTCCTCCAAGTAAATTTACAATTTTCAACCGGTAACAAAAAAGTTAAAAAATATTTATTATATATCAACTTATTTGTACAACAAATTCCTTAGAGGCATGATTTTAAAACAGATATTAGACCGAAATTTTTAATTGACCACAAAACTTGGAAAGCTGTATAATATTTTGTCTTAATACACATTTTACTTCATATAGAAAAACAAAACCTTTTTAAAAAAACAGTAGCATGTCTCAAATATATGTAAGTATATAAGTTGATTCCGGATATTTATATTATTTTTTAATGTTTAACATTTTTTTCTTAAATTTCCTTCTTGTTGTATTCTTTTCTCATGTACCAAAAACTTACAAATTTTCTTGAGTGGGTTATAAAATATTCAATTTAGAGTTTTTCAAATATTTTTTGACAAGGTCTATCACTTTGAGCCACATAAAAATGATAACACATCTAATAGAAAGTCAAACGAGTTAAAAAGTATATTAGACATAAATCACACATTGACGTTTCTGTATTATGTTGTTCCCGACACTATTTATGATAAAAATAGAATATGAATGTAAATTATGTGAAACTTTAAAAAATGTGATTGAAACAATTTATGGTCAATTAAAATTATATTGTAATCTATTTGTACTTAAAACAATTCTGTATTGTACCATACGATTATAAGTATTACATTTGGGGAGGATAATTGAACAATAATATATATTTTAATGTTTGTTTTTAGTTTTCAAAACAATTTATTTACAATAATTATTTCATCAGTCTTCGGTCTTGCTTCATATTAGATACGATTGCAGCTTTAAATTATACGATTATTGGACTCATCAAAAAACATGAAAATGAAGTAAAGATTACAGAATTTTTAAAACCGATCCCATCCAATAACCGCATCATTACACATTAACAGAGTGAAGACAGAAATGTTAGTGTTGTGTAAAATGTTACAAATGTTTTATAGATTTTGTTACACAGACCAATCGCAAAATTTAGTTCTAACTTTGGCACATGTAATACTAAAGTTAAATCAAGTCTTCGGAACTCCATTTAAAATTCATATAAAAGATAGTATTCCTACACTTTATTAAGGATTGGGTAGGTAATTTATATTGCAATAAGTCCTATTGTGCAATATTATATTGTAAAATAAGTGCACGTCTAGTATTAATGTATTATTTATATGTAATATATTGAAAATAAATTATTAAATTATAAGATGGTGTTATCCAATTTAGGGTGTTTTTGTCATATAGGAGTAAACACATAATTATAATGTAAAAGATAAGTAGTACTACAATTCCAAATAAAAATAAACATTTAAACTAGGAATTTTATAATGAAGTCATTACTACACAACACCAAGAGATGTAAAGACGCTAGGAGAGACTTCATTGAGCGTAATGTTTCAAAAAAGCACATAACTAAAAAAGGAGCATCTAAAAATTCTTGAAAGTTGAACGACCTAACGAAAGGTGTGTCGATATTATTATAATCAATTACAAAATGTCTTTTCTTTCATTGATTTGACATTCGGATACACCATTGTTGGTATAGTTCATTGATTTTATAAGATAACTCAAAGTAAGGGCTAAGGTTGCCCACAAATTTTGAAGAACTTATCAATAGTATACACTTTCTTTTATTTGAGGGTGTTGACTGCGTTGTCCCCTGGCTATGGAGGCATAACTTCTAAAATTGTGGGCAATAGCCGGCCACACACACAGGTACAGTTGAACGCTCTTGGTTCGTTGGATATCGGGCGCGGGGGTCTAACTCGTACGTTAATGGGGAAAAAATACCCATGCTCAAAGTATGACCGTCTTATGCGTCGTCCAAGATAGCAGGTCTACTCTTGTTATGTTTTTGCGTGTGTGGAGCGTTCTTGTTTTGTTATTATGGCTGACACCAGATTTTGGAGTAAAGGGATTTTGACCCAGTTCATAGAAATATATAGGAAACATCCAGCGCTCTGGATGATAAAAAGTAAAGACTTTACTAATAAAAATTTGACAAGGATCACCATGAATTAATGAATGAATTAATCTGGTTGTATAAGCAAAATAAAAATTTTTGCAAAAAAATTCAGTCTATACGAAGCTCTTTCTTTTAGCCAGTTTTTTCCATTTCCTTCTATTTCTTCCATAGTCTTAGTCTATGATTCCAAAGTACGTAACGGCCATTGCTACAATTTTTTTTTTGTTATCCATTTTCCGCCACAGTCGAGCCACACCAAAATATCAAACATGTTTGAAATCCAGGCTCGCGCTAATTTTGATCAAGTATGTCAATATTTATACCCATAAACACACACTCTTGGTATGTACGTCAAAGATTCTCATCAAAGTATTGCCATTTAATATTTTCGTTAATGGACAACAGCGTTCTTGGCTCGCTACAGACTTGACTCGCATGCTTTGCATGGGCCATGCTAAAACCTTCTTCAAGACCATATGTGTGTGGCCGGCTAATGTCAACAATTAGTTGGACCCTCTTGTCCTGTATATTTAATGGCATAGTTTATTCGTGCATACTTTTTCCTACACAAAAATCCGATTGTTTTATTGACAGTGTATTCAATATAAATGTTTTTGTTTTTGTTAATTGGAACTTTATTAAACAAAAAGGCTCCCATCCATATATTTATTATATTCTGCAAAAGCACTGAGCAAACACGGTGGTCTAAATTTACAATTCTAGTATTTTAAATAGGGGTTAATAAGTCAAGATTACAATAATATCGAGATGAAAAGTTGGTATTGAATATAAAAGTTGCCCTTATTCTATCCCCAACATAAAAAGTTAGGATTGCCCCAATTCCAACATAAAAAGTCGGAATTATGCTAATCCCTAGATGAAAAGTGAAGATCACACTAATTTCCTGATAGAATGCCAAGATGATACTAATTCTCATAAAAACTGGAATAACTCCAATCTTGATAATCATAATATTCTGATTATTTATTTAACTTTAAAAAAATATAATACACATCCTCTGCCGAAGGAAGATCTCATTGCACTCAAGGGTCATTCAGCTCTCAAGCATTTATAGGTAGTTTAAGAAAAAAATTTCAATTTAAATTGTAGAATAAGAATATACAATTAAGCAAAAATAATATAGTTTTTTTTATGGCTGTTGATGAGCGGCGGACTTACAGATTCATGCATTATAGTTTTTTATATATTCCTTTAAATATACCTTTTAAAGGATTTTTTTTTAGAAACAAGACTGACAAATAAAAATATTAATAAAACAAAAAATGTATTCAATTGGGAAGTTGTGTATGTCCTAAAAGGTATAAATCCGCCACTCATTTTTGCTGTTAATAAGCTAGTCAACTTTTAGTCCTTTCCATAAATATGCACAATACAAGCTTATCTTTTCTTGCACAAGTTAGTAGTTTTTATAAACATACGCTTTATACAGTATGTCAATTCTTTATACAGGGTGATTCAGAACTTATCAAAAAAAAAAAAAATTCTGGATGTACAGGGGACCTTTACAAATACAATTTTGTAAAGAAAAAATCAAAAAGGACAGTTTGAAAATGATTTAAAAATACACTTCTGCACGGCACTGAATATTGGTCTACTGTAAAACCTGACTCTGCCCCTCTGCCCAATGCGACCGGCATGGCGGTGATAAAAATGGACAAAAACTTTTGCAAGGAAAGAAATAGAATTTTATAGCACTTGTTTTATATTGGCAAATTCAACTGCTTTTACCATTATTAATTAATAAAATTAATTTGTGTTTTTAAATAATAAAATCATTTGACATACCCGATGTAACAACAATAATTGTTCAAAATTTTATTCACCAACGTGTAAACACATTTGGGTCCGTCGTACTCAGTTTCTACGAACTAACACAAATGTTGTCTTGCTTCACCATAAATTAAAACGATATCCATCAACTCCGAGTTGCTATACACGTAAACCATTTTTGACACTAACTACTAAAAAACTATTGTAAACACCACAGATGACAGGTAAACACTATCGCAACAACGATTGCAAAATCAGATTTCAGTATTCGGAGTCGCTGAGGCCATGTGGCTCTCCACGCGTATTGCGAATAACGCTAGAGACTACAGTTGTCCAGCTATGTAGTGGTTGAATGTACTATAACTTCAATAATTCTTTTCTCTGAAACTATAAGGATTTTTCGAAACATTTTTTTTTACGATATTGACTCCATTTCTCATACCGCATCTATTCCCAATTTTTCTTGGATAAGTTGTGAATCACCCTGTATATGTTGTATAGGTACTGTTATTATAAGATTTATAGAATTATTAAAGTAACTAAATCGAGCAGAACA